TTTATTACGTATTGCAAAACATACACTAATAAAAAAGAGGGGAAAATAAAGGAAAAAAATTTTAAGGAACTAATTTCACTCACCCCAAAATAGTAATGACACCAACAGCTTCTCGAAACAAAAATAAAACATACACAATCGATGCTCAGAAAAACCAAGCTGAAGCTAAAGGCAGCCGAGGCCGGGTCTGAACAAACCACCTGGCTGGGGCGGCCACTGAGTCCCCGGGATGGGGCAGTGGGGCCCGGGGGGACAGGCGCACAGGGCCCATTCTCAAACACCCCCAAAACAGATGCTGACTCACAGTCAGGCTGAGCTGAGGGACAACCCGCACCTCTGAGGGGATAGCGATTTCCTCTCCTGTCCTGTATTACTCATACGCAGACCCAAGTCCCCTAAAAATACCCGCAAGGAGTGGTCACTGCACGCAGAAAGGTTCAGAGTGGGCATAGAAGGGAAAATTCCGAACCCCAGTCCCAACACTGTCACATCCAAAGCTCTTCTCACCTCTTCCCACCTCTGTCGTTCAGCAACTGGGAAAACCTCTGCCCGGCCAACTTCAAAGGGAAAGATAATCAAAATCTCTAAGGACAAATGAGCCGGATGAGAGAAACAGTTTAAACAGTAAGTGGTGAGGTGGCCATCATCTGTAATTCCAGGTATTTAGGAAGCTGAGGCAGGAGGATCACAGGTTGGAGGCCATCCTGGGCAATTTAGCAAGAACTTCTCTCAAAATGAAAAATAGGTCTGCGGATGCAGCTCAATGCTCCCTGGATTCAATTCCAAAGAAGTCCGTAGGCCGTAAAAACACTCCAGACAGAGACCTTCTTGCCTATTTCCTTCTACCTAGATTTCCCCTTAGTGCCAAGCATTTAAATAATGTTACAGTATTCTCTTACAGAACCTAAATAACAAGGAAGCAGCAAACAGGCACAGGACAAGGCAAACTGGTCAATCTACAGAAGCTGAAGAGAGAAAACACAATTCTATATATTTGTCTTTGGTACCGGAGATCGAACTCGGGACCTTGCGCTTGCAAGGCAGGTGGTGGAACCACTGAGCTAAATCCCCGGCCCAAGGAAATGTAATTCTCATGAACAAAACTCCCTGGAGAAAGTGCCCTAAAAGTCCATGGGCTGGAGATTTAGCTCAGTGGTATCTCAGCTGCCTGGAAAGCAAAAGCAATCCCCAGTACAGCAAAAAAAAAAAAAAAAAAGTCCTAAGAGGGTAGAGGACAAAAAGTAAGTACTGGCGAAGGCAGTTCATAAAGATATCTTTGTGAGCCGGGGATTTAGCTCAGTGGTTCTGCTGCCTGCCTCACATGTGCAACGACATGAGTTTGATCCCCAGGACCAAAAAAAAAAAAGATATCTTTGTGAGCCACATGTGGTGGCACATGCCTATAATCCCAGCACTTGGGAGGCTGAGGTAGGAGGGTCAAGGTCATCCTGAGCTACATGGGGAGTTCAAGGAGGGCCTGAGCCACAGAGCAAAACCTTCCTTTGTTCAAAGAAAACAAAGGCAAAAGATAATACTGTACTTGTGTACATTTGCCTGTGTAGAAAAATACAGAGTGGGGCGGTACTTTTGGGCCAGGGGGATTTGCACTGTGCTGAACACTGCAATGGGCGTTCAAGATTTCCAAAAGGTCAATGAATGACAGGGAAGACCACTACGAAGGCACGGCAGAGAAGACAGAGGGCTGTCTGGACAGGCCAGACGTGGGAATAACAAAAACGAACAGGAAAGGAAATGGCATTTAAAAGTCTGGGATTTAGCTCAGTGGTGCCCCCGCCTGCATTGCAAACGCAATGTCCTGAGTTTGATCCCTAGTACCAAAAAAAAAAAAGTCAGGGATATAGATGCACATAAAGAAGTTTACACTGGTTGGTTTTGTTTCTTTCCAGGATTCAGTCTCACTATCTCTAGTGGGAGGAAATACAAGAATCTGGTATTTAACAAAGATCAGAATAACTTTCTCAACCCACCAGTGTCAAGATGAGTTTAACAACAGTGTGCCATGTCAGACTAGCAAAGTTTACTCTGAAGTTCTAACTCATCTTCATCTACAAAACAAACTTTAAAAAGTGATACACGGGGCTGGTATCACTATCTTGCCTTCCATGACCAAAATAATTTAGTCTGAAATAAAATACTTGTACTCTGGCAGCCACCAAGTCGGGACAAATGACAGCGACACAGGAAAAGGCCCTCCCATCCCCCAAAAGAACTATTTTTTCTTATGAAGGAGGGACAGGAGAGGGAAGAAAGTCAAGACCTGTACCTAGGGCGACAGGGCATACAGAGCAGTCCGTATTTCCACTCTCTTTGGATTAGGTTGTGAAGCCCATGACCGCTCAGGTCTCCCCAAACGGCCCCTCTCGAGGTGGCAGGGTAAACTTGGGCCCCAGCAGCACTAGTCCTAGCTCTGCCACCAAGCACATGATTGGAATGTTATTACCTAAGGCTTCATTTTTACCACCTATAAATGATCCCAGCCGGGGAACGGTGATGCATGCCTGTGATCCCAGGATTCAGGAGGCTGAGACAGGAGGATCACTCCAAGTTTCAAGACCAGTCTGAACTACATAGGGAGACCGTGTCTCAAAATAAAACAACAAGGTGAGACTGCATGTGCAGGCCCTGGGTTCCATTCTCAGCACAGTAAAAAGCAGTGATGAGACTACTGAACTGAGAGCTCTAAGGTTCCCTCTATCTCAAAAGCTGTCATTTTTTGATGGCTCTCTAAGACTTCTTGCACAGACTTCAACTTGACTTGCTTCCAGCCCCTTCTTGCACCACCATGCTCAAGTTTGAGACTTCCAAAGGAAATCCAGTTTGCTGCTGCTGGCCATTTAAAAAAAAAAAAAAACAGGAAAAAAATCTGGGTGTGATGGCCCATCCCTGTAATCCTAGGGGTCTGGGAGACTGAGCCAAGAGGATCACACATTCAAGCCCAACCTGGGCAATTTAGCAATTTAGTGAGATCTTACCTCAAAATTAAAAATTAAAGTCGGGCATGGTGGCTGGCCCATGCCAGTAATCCCGGCAATCAGGAGGCTGAGGCAGGAGGATCGCTGCAAGTTCAAGGCCAGTCTGAGCTACATAGTGAGTTCAGGGGCCAGCCTGAACTACAAAGGGAGATCCTGACTCAAAACAACAACAACACACTAAAAATTTAAAAAGGCTGGCAATGTGGCTCAGTGGGGAGGCCCTGGGTTCAGTCCCAAGTACTGGGGGGCGGGGCGGGGAGGGGGCACACAGCGCTTCACTTCCACTTCCTTGGAGGAATGGCACTAAAGGACTAGAATAATAAAATCAAGATGAAATTACAGCAAACTGGCTACAATATGTAATTACAGAAGTTGCAGTGCTGCTTTGGACCTTTTTAATAAAAAAAAAAACCCATAAAATAATCTTAAACAGTGACAAAGTATCACAGGCTAAAATGTACAACTTGCTCCGCCGAAACCTGCGCTCTTCTCCCCGTGGGAACAGAGGCAGCGAAGGGCTCTGTCTCACTCCATGAGGTCCCTAAGTGAGGAACACAATTCACACCGACTGATTACATCAATGCAGAACAAGCGCTGGGTGGGAAACACACGGGAACAGGGAGAACCGGGGAGTTCCACTTTTTCGGGTCTGTTTTCACCTCTACGGTGACTAAATTATTTAGGGGGTCATTTTGTTGCTAAACGTTCCACTCAGCTGCAAGTTTGTCTCTTCCTCCACTAGGAGGACTGCACTTTAGGTTGACTCGGGGACTTCAATTATATGCTAGGCATCACTCTCGGGAATACAGCTAAGAACAGAAATAGGTCCCACACCAGGAGTACGTTCTAGAGACAAGGGGGCTTCCAGAAAGGACTAGCATCCTGGTTTCGCTTTGAATTACTAGATGCACTAGTAAAGAACACGTTACAACTTACAATTTTTTTTTAAAGCATTTAACCTTAAAAGCAAAGGGATCATAAACTTCCGGGCCCTAGAGCTAAGCTAAGCATGAGATGGATCTGCTTTAGTAAGGAAGTTTGCCTGCGCCAGCCGCGTCTGGGCCCCTGGTGCCCAAGGCTTCCAGACCAGGAGGGGAAAATGCAAAAGCAAAATGGAGGAGGGGCCTCACAGGAGGCGGCTCGGAGCGCCAACCTCGTGGCTCGCTCCTCATGGCGCCAAGCAGCCTTCCTGCCTCGCTCTGCCCAGTAGCCTCACCGGGCGGCCGGGCCCCAGTTGGAGGCGGCGGTCAAGACGGGGCAGCAAACAGCCTCATCTCACAGGCAGTTCGGGGAGCAAAGAAAACCCTCTGCGAGGGCTCCACCCCGCTCCACCTGCAGAAGGACCCCGCGGTGAAGCCGGGACCCTCTCCGCCTTGCTGATAAAACAAAGAAACGGGCTTCTGGGGAGTCCCGCGCGGCCACCCCTGCCCTTCCCCGGGCGCCGAGGCGCACAGCACCCGGGCGCCGCGGGGCACGAACAGCAACTTTCTCCGAGGTGCCGAGCACGCTTCCTCTTTGCGTCGGAGACGGAGCCTCTGCTGACCTGTCGCGGACGTCACCGCGCTGCTGGGGCTCGGGCCCTGGCTCTGCCCCGGGAGCCCCGCGAGGCCCGGCCGGCTCCCCTTCCCCGGACGCCGCCTCGCGCGTTCCCGTCGCGCGCGCTGCCCGCCCGGGCCGGCGTCCGGCTCGCTGCGCCCTTGGCTCCGCTGGGCCAGCGCGCCGGGGCCAGGCCGGGGCCGCTGGACTCCTCGGGGGCGCGGTGTAGCCTGCGGGGGGGAGCCTCGGGCCCTAACCCAGACCCGTGAGACAATGAGCATCGCTCTCCCGCCCCTCTCGCACAGGACCCCGGCCCAGAGTTGGAGCGCGGGCGGGGGGCGAGGGGCGCGCCGGCCATGGGTCCCGGCCCAGCCATCCCCGCGCCCGCCCGAGCCCGCCCGCCGCCGCGTGGCCGCAGCGAGGCGCCCGGCCCGGCCCGCGCCCGCCACACCACACGCGGCGCAGTCCCACCTTGCCGCTGGCTGTGCCCCCGCTGACGCCGATCAGGAAGGGCTCGCCGCCGTGGGGCTGCGGGTGGCTCTGCAGGGTCTGCTCGCTGTCCCCGGCCATGGCTCGCACCGCCCGGGAGCCGACGTGCGCCCCGCCCGCGCCCGGCTCCTCCTGCCGCTGGGCGCCGCCGAGATCTAGGCCACGGCTCGGAGCCGGGATGGGCTGGCTCTCTCCGAGAAGCCCTCAGCCTTCCTCTGCCCGCAGAGGCCGGCGCGGGGTTTACATCCCAGGCCGAGGTCAGCGTGATGCCTCTGCTCCAATCCGCGCGGGGAGCGCGCTGCTGCTATACGCCCAGGCCGCGGCCTCCGCCCCGCCCGGCCCCGCCCGGCCCCGCCCGGCCCGCCACCGCGCGGCCCCGCCACCGCCCCAGGTCTCTCGGAAAGGTGTGAGCCGGGAGGGCGCGCCGCCCCCTCACACCCATTAACCCTTTCCCTAGCCAGCAGGACCCGGGCGGGGCGGGACGGGGCGGGGCCGAGGAGCGTTTGGGTGTGGACGCTACTGCCCCTCTTTGAAGGGGAGTTTTAAAGAAAAGGGAAGAGAGACTAATATAATAGATCAAATAATGGGGAGGATGCCCCACCTTTGGGAAACAAATGAGAATGAGCTGGGAAGGTTTAAAATGGGAGGGATTTAATGTTATTCACCATTCATCCAGGCTAAAAACTTGTGTTTTCAGAAAAATAAGATTAATTTATTTCTCCTTCTCATTTGCCCAAAATAGTGTGCCAGCCGCTGGCTTTAGATATTTCCTGTCTTGGAAACCCCTGAGCGCCATTCTGCTTAGCAGGCCTGTCCTCCTGTGACTCCCGGAAAATGAATGCCCTTCCTAGCCACAGTATCTCACGTCTGAAATACCGGGTTCTTGTGGAGTTAGGGATGGTGGGAATATTAAAATAACAATGACATATTGATCTGCCAATGCCTTTAATTGAACAGGCTTTTCAGAGATTGGCAGTTATTCGCTCAGCTAGGTGGGAGCAGTACCAGCTAATGAACTAGGCAGCCTCCACCTCTGGAGTCAGATTTCTGTGTTCATGTTCAGGCCTGTGAGCCAGTTACTTAATATCCTGTGCCTGGATGTGCTGTTCTGTTGAATGGAAACGATAATGGCTTTTTTTGTGGAGGGGGACAGGATCGGGACCCTCCTCCCTCAGCCTCCAAAATGCTGGGATTACAGGCGTGCAGCACTACACCTGGCTGCAATGGCCATTTTCAACAGAGGATTTTTGGTGAAGTTTAAAGGCATTATTTGATGTAAAATTCGTAAAACAGCGCCTGGTACAGTTTAGGCCCCGTTAGTATTTAAGACAAAAAGGCCCCAGACCCAGGGATTTAGTTCAGTGGTTCTATTGCCTGCCTCATAAGCACAAGGTCCAGAGTTCCGGAGTTTGATCCCCGATACCAAAAAAAGAAAAAAAAAAGGCTCCTGAGCTAGGTTTGGTGGCCCATGCCTTTAATCCTAGCACTTTGGGAGGCTGAGGCAGGAGGACTGCAAATTGGAGTCCAACCTGGGCAATTTAGGGACTTTGCTAGACTGTTTCAACATAAAAAGGTGTAGCTTAATGAAAAGGCCCTGGGTTCAATCCTCAGTAGAGACAGAGACTCTGAGATGCTGAACTGGAAAGGAAGTTCTGCTGGGCACTGAGGAAGGCAGGATTAGACTAGCAACTTCCACCCTCATCCTCTGAGCTTGACCTGGTGGAGCCGTGCAGCCGAAGACAGACCTAAAGTCGGTAGCATTTAATTATACCGAATTGCCTTAAGTGGAAAATTATTTTGAAAAAAAATAGTAAAGAAAATTAAGAGTATCAGAGAACACAACAGTCTTTTTTTGCTTTTAAGGTGATTTGGGGGGGACCCTTCACCAGTCTCTGTAGGGGCTCAGATGAGCAACTCTAATGGTCGGTGGCTTCCCAGCCCCTGGGAAGCAGGCCAGGGAGAGCATTGCTGGAGGTCCTCTCCTGAGCCTCCTGGAGTGGGTGCGTTTTACCTGGCTTCCAGAGGCCCCTGCTCCTGAGTCTTTTCTCCAAGAAAGAAACCTCACAGACTGCAAGGACTTTTGCAGAAATCTGTGTAGCCCACAGAAGGCCCATTAGAAATTGGAACAATGAGCCAGTAGCTAGGGATTAGCATGGGGATATTGGGTAGCTGAGAGGAAGAAGAGACAACGCTGCCCTGAATCCGCTGTGAACTTTTCCCAAATCCCCACTGGCCTTATTCCTCTTGTTTTTTCCATTAATATTATATCATAAAAATTTTCAGAGTTGAAAGATAGTAAACACCTAGGCTACATCTCCAGCTATTTTTTAAGACAGTGTCTCACTGAGTCACCTAAGTCACTTTCTTTCTTCTTTTATTTTTGTTTGTTTGTTTGCTTGGGTTTTTTGGTACCAGGGATCAAATTTGGGTCTTTGCGCTTGTGCAGCAGGCAGCGAAACCACTGAGCTAAATCCCCGGCCCTATTTGTTTGTTTTTTGAGACAGGGTCTTGCTATGTAGTTCAGGCTGGCCTTGAACTCCCTATGTAGTCCAGACTGGCCTTGAACTTGCAGTGATTCTCTTGCCTCAGGCTCCCAAGTGCTGGGATTGCAGGGGTGTGCCAACCAAGCCCAGTTAAATCACTAACTTTGGATCCTCCAGGATCAGCCTCCCAAATTGCTAGGATAATAGGCCTGCCGCTGGGAATGCCCTCTTCTGTTGTGTTTCAGTTGATTTACTCTGAACTGATTTAAACACTTCTTGCCCCCTTTTTAACATTACTATGTATCTAGCCACCTAGAACAGTTTCTTGCTATACACTACTGGGGCCTCAGTAAATATTTGTTGGGTGATTGAAGAGATACTGTGTCTCAACGGGGAAGGCCCATTGAGCAGAATGAAAGCAAGCAGGAAGGTTTCAATATGATTGTTGAATGAATGAATGAACAAATGGACAAATATGTAAGAAGTAAGAAACAAGCAAACAGCATCTTCATCTTTTTGAAGGGAAAGGTGGTGTGCCTTTGATTATAATTATGTGATGACTACTCTCACATCCCAGTGTGTTGTTTCCCTGGCTGCGGCAGTGTGGGTGTGGCTTCTCGCCACCAAAACTCAGGGTGAAATTTAATTGCCAATGTAACAGCATAGAGAAGTCCTGGAATCTGCAGGAGGGGCGTGATCAGTCGGGGGGGGGGCCCACCCTTACAGAAAACATATACACATAATGGCCTTCCCACGAGACTGGGTTCCGCTCCTCTCTGGAGGCTGTTAGAAGGGAGATCCAGCTTTTCCTGGCCCTCGCTTCCTTCCTCCTTTCCTGAGTGCTCGTCTCTTCCACACGTGTGTGCCCTTCACTCACACGTACCCCGCGTTAGCCCATCCATCCCCTGGTGCGTCGTTGGCACTGCAGGGAAACTGCCTGCCACTAGTCCTAGGCAGCACGGCTGTTACCGAGGTGACTTACTCGTTAGTTGAGCTGAGTCTCTGCACTTCTCCGCACCTCATTTCATATGAATAACACTTCCCTATGCAGGAGTTAATAGCCAGGAAAGTGCTCCGAAAAGGATCACAAATTTTCTTGAGGAAGGTAAGATCTCCTTAGCAGAAGACACCAGCGCTCTGCTCGTGTCTTCCCCCCACACAGAGCGCACCCAGGCCTGCCTGAATTATTAAGAGGAGTTTCAGCTCCGGTGACCTCAACAAGGTCTTCCGGATCTCCACTCTATGCGGCCGGGCCAGCTGCCCGAGGTCTCTGCGCTGTGTCATCCTCTGGGGAACCCGGTCACCAAATCCCCTCGCTGGAGATGTTCACATAGCACTCGGGCCCACGGTAGCAATTACACTGCAGATTCTGAATTCAGTGATTTTGAGCTGTGCTCTTCCCTCTCCCGCTGAGAGAAAAAAAAAACCTCAAATATTTTTAATAAACCCCAGTGTGACAGCGGATTCGAGGAAATGACGTTTGCTTGGCATGTGTGATATTTTGTTTGCCTTTAAGAAGCTTTTGGTCTGATTAACTCCGGGCCTGGTTCACATTTGGGATGAAGTCAGCATGAGTGTGCCACTGCAGCTGCAGCCAAGGAACAATGAGAGGCACTGCTGTGGACGGTCCTTTGTCCGCCTTCTCTCTTTAAGGAGCCCTGGTTCTGAACTAGGCAAAGACAGAAGACTTTACATCCAGCTGAGATTTCCTAGCGTCTTCTTGGAACTGTGCTCAATTCTCTCTTTGCTTATCTCACTGTGAGCCAGAGTCGATGCTATTACACTTCAGCCTCTGTATGATGAATTCTCTCTCCCTACTGCCTTCCCACTACCTTCCACCTCGCAACCATCAGCAGTGGCTTTGGCAGGTGCTGAGCGCTGATTTACAAAGATGTTCCGGCAATATTAAAGCAATCACACTCGGACACTCACAGACAACCCAGGAGAGTGCAGCGTCAGACCAGCTGCAGGGAGGCAGAGGCGGCTGGAAACGCAAGCCCTGGGCTCCACCCGAGAATCCAGAAGCGGTGAGTCAGGAACTCTCTCTGCGGCCCACACAGAGAGGCGGCTCCTGTGAGCTTTCCAGGTGAACCTAGGCCCACCGAGGTCTGAGAGACGCTGATCGAGGGCCGAGTTCGCACCCTGGCCTTGTTACTAATTCTGTAACCTTCCACGGAATATTTAATTTCTGTAAACCTCAGGTTCTTCAACTGTTAAGTGACAACCCGGCTGGCAGCTGGCTGTGAAAATGAGGAGTGCATCTGAGCACTTCGGAGTTGTTAAATATCTGGGTCCTTCCCCTCTTTCCGCTATAGCTCGCTGGTTTGTCACAGAAATCCATCCGTGGGGCTGAGAGAAGTTCCAAAAATAAGAACACCTAATCCCCAAAGGTGCTTTCTGATAAAAATTAAGAGGTAATGTCCAACTATAAAGAGATGATAAAGGTTTGAGGAGATAAATATAGGGGTGGTGATCAAAAATTACGGTGAATTTTTTTTTTTTTTTTATTTAGAGTTGTGCAGCT